CACAGGAAGGAAGTCAAGCCAGGTTCACCATTCCCGCCCATTCTCACTCACATCCTCCAGTTTGGAGACCACCAGGACAGCTCAGTGGCAAGAGGCTAGTTGCCTCACACCTTTCCTTCACCTGTTAGACGTGGACTTGGGGTGAAAGCCCTGAAACTTTGAGAGTTAATCTCTCCCTTGTCTAATTTCTGAGATCTACACAGACAGCAATGTTATGAGGGAGATCCATATAAAATTTCCAATATTGGATCATTTTTCACCACACAAAAGGCATATGGTTCAGCCACTAATGCGAAAGTTTTTAATCTAATTTCTTTTGACCACCTCCCTCCCAAATGGACTGCTAATGGCTTTTTAAAGGGTTTTCTTAGCTCCCTGAAATTTTACGAAGCTTTTACACCTAAATGTTTGTGTGACTTCATTTTTGGAGGGAGAGAGGACACAAATGTCAACTCATTTTCTAAGGAATCTGTGATTTCCTGCTCACCCCGAACTAAGAACCATTTGCCAGTCAAAAGAACACAGAACAAAACTGGAAAACCTAAATTCCTGCCTCTCTAGCATTTAGCTAGAGGAAGTCACTTAAGCTGTCAGGATCCTGCTTTCCCCACTTCTATAATGTAACCTTTGTATTCTGGGGGTATTAGAGAACAAAAGTCTCAAATAGGAGTAGAAACTCAGTGAGCCTGATGGAGGCTCTGGCACAGCATGGGATCTCTCCTGGCAAACTGTCAAGTGCGACACAGCCAGATGGAGTGTCCGCCCACCTTCTCCTGCTCAAGGGCCTCCCCTTTCTCTCTGGGATCAAGAAGTGCCATAGATGAGTGACGATGGAAAGGCACAGAAAAAATAGCAACCCAGTAACTAACCAAAAGCATCTTAAAACCTCAGAGAAGATTCTTCTCAAGCTTGTGGTGTAGTCTCAGGGTCTGCTCTCCTGTGACCACCGCAGAGGATGACCTGGAAATTGAAATGCTTGGCTTGGGAGTATATTAAATGTGTCTACCCAGCAGACACATTGAAGACGGGTTTCTTAAGCCCAAACAGTTGCGTGCTAGGGAAGCATTCTTTCAGCCTTACCCTCACCAGTGGCCAGAAGTTAGATCCAGTAGTTAACATGCAGGTTTTGGATGAAAAAAGCAGCTGAGTGAGTGGGACTGGTTTTCTACTTCTGTCTGTCACTGTCTGTCTCTCTCCATCCATCCATCCAATCTATGTTTTCTCTATTTCAAAGTATTTTGCAATGGCTTCACTGAGCTAATTTCACTGGCAGTCCCTCTATCTTGAGACCATTCCTCAGTCCTGAGAATCACTCATTCTTATAAAAGATCTTACCTTCTTTCTGATGTCTAGCTAAAGTTTTTCTTTCTCATGAGAGCCATGTTCAAATTCATTTTATATAACATGAATGCAACCTCCTTGTCAAAACAAACAATAAAACCTTACAGATAAAGCTACAATCCTTGTTAACATCTTAGTATCTTGGTTTTTTTCTCTTGGGGCATGCCCAGTGCTCATTTCAGATCTGAGTAGTCCCCCTGGGGGTGCATCTGGAGTGCTTTGTAAGGAAGGGGGTGAAGCCAGCTGTTCAGACAATTCACTTGGGGGGAGGATTAGAGGGGTCTCACACTTTGGTAATACCAAAGGTGGCATGGAGGTAGAATTAGTAAAAGCTTCATGTGGCCAAATTTTCTGCTTCAGTCACTACCTATCTTTCATGTCTAGGGACATAAAATTCATTATTTATTTTATATGAAGTAAAAATAATCTGGACTATTATATATATTAAAATAGCTGTGAGTTGGCTGCAGAAAGAGCAACTTTTAAAAATACTGTCTCTGTTTGAATAAGGAATACACATCTAGTATTCTAATTATACTGTGAATTCTAGAAGTTTATCTATATGTAAAACAAAAGTAGGTTTTAAATAACTGTATATTGAAATGAATTTCCTGAGAAGTCTAATAAAAGTTACATATATGTATATATAATGTATACATATGTATACACATATGTATAATGTATTTTTCATACATTCCACTTATAAAGTAGAGATACATTCCAAACCAAGAGCCTCAAATATTGCCAGTTTCTATGGAAGTAGAACCTAGAGTGCCAACTCACATTTCTATAAGGACCAATTTAAAATAGTATGTATGAAATATTTAGTCTCTACAGTTAAGAAAATCACAATTCTCTAGATACCAAAATCTATGGATGTATGTTTCATTAAAAATTTTTATTTTTTACCCTTGTCTTCATGAAATGTAAACAGAATAAAAAAATTTTTTTTGAAATAAGAATTATTGAACTTTGAGTCCTTACTAGACAATAGGCACTGTCCTATGTGTTTTCAGATGAGTTCATCTCATCCTCGTAGTAGCCTCCCAAGGTTGGTAGTATGTCTGTTTCTTAGATGTGGGGAAGAGGAACCCTAGCCTCAGAGAGGAGAGATGATGGGTTGCTCAGATTTACCCAGTGAGTAAAGTGGGAACTAAGAGTCAAACCCAGGGCTCTGCCTGGCCAACCCCTCTCAAGAATGGTAAACCTACTTGCTGCCTTTGATCCCATTCAGAATGATTATGCAGATTCAAACTAACCTCTGATTTGGAGGCTCCAACAGTTGTTTGAGGGAGTTCATTCTTCCCTTGCTCTTGTTATGGGGCCTGTTTGGTGTTTAGATGAGAATGGAATTTGGTTCCCTCTTCTGTGTCGCTCTGAGAAGAAATACCCAAGAGCGGGCATTTTGTACCTTTATCAGGTCCTTGCCTTTCTTTGCTTTGTGTATCCCAGCATTCCTCTGCCTCTGTTTCCTTTGTAAGTCTCACCTGTGGTTTTCCTACTTAAGCCAGAGCCTGGAAATCCTGGCATAGCCACATCCCACAAATCCAGGCACAGAGACAGTGACACCAGGAGCCGGCCCCAGTGTTCAAAGGGATTGCTATTCAAAGACCCTTAGAGCAAGGAGGCGCATTTCTGGGAGATGTAAAGTGAGTTGGAGGTTTTAGGCACGGGCCCTCAGGACAGAGGAATCCACACTGTAAGACCTACCCCTACTAACTAGTTTCATATGGGTGGTGTCTATTTGGGACCCCGACTGGAGGTGGGAAGACTGAGCTTTCCTGTCCCTTGTTGAAGCCACCCCACTCTTCAAGTCTGGGGCCTGTTAGGGTAAAGCCACCAGGTACTTGTTTAGACTCAGTCTGTTCCTGGCTTGGGAAGTGACCCAGAACTTTCTTCTAGCACTCAGGTCTCTGTTGTGGCATGTGAGAAGGAAGTGGTGGTAGGTGTACCCAGGGGACTTTGATGTCTTTGCTGCTGGAGTTGAGGGCTTTGTGCGGGGCTGTTGGTTACCCTACCGTGTGTTTCATGTCTAGCCTTCACCCAGCGAGAGACAAAGGACCTCGTATTGCAAGCCATAACCTATGGGTCTGGATATTTCTTAAGTTATAAAGAAATATTTATTACTTCAAAGAGGGGAAACGAAAAAGGTGGGGGAAAGACACTGTAAAAAGAATGTGGCTGGTCTTTTTCTCAAAGGAGAGGAAGAAGGGAGACTTGTACTCCATCGACCACTGCAAATCATAAAATCCCCCTAATTAAGCCAGCAGTGCAAATGAGCACTATAAACACACCACCAAGACTCAGGAAAATTCAGCCTGCGGACAAAGAAGAATTCTTATTAACATGGAAAACATGTTTTACTTTTGAAAGGACGTCCCTGCCATTTGATGTGGACCTTGCTTTTACTCCGAGGACAGTTTTCCTGGGGCTTCATCGCCCTCTGGGTCTGATGAAATGCTAGAGAAACGTACACAGGTTCTGATAATGTGACTCCCAGGTAACACCAGGGAAGGTGGGAATTTCTTCTCAGCAGAAATTAAGAGTAATGTTAAACACACAACACAATATATAGATCATGTATCACTGAAATCTATATAATCTTATTAGCTATTGTCACCCCAATAAATTCCATAATAAAAAAGAAGAAAAAGGTTTCTTAGTATGTCCCCCCTTTTTTGCTATACAAAAGGATATTTAATTGCCCTTTCACAGACTAAAAATATTCTGCAATCAGTAAACAAGTATCTTGAATATGTATATAATCCAAAGGGTAAGTAAACAGAATCCTATATAGAAATAAAAACTCACCTATGCAAATCTGAAAGAAAAGAATAATGTTGAGCTATAGGCAATAAAGCAAAACTAGAATGGCTGCCTCAAATGATTTCAGCAAAAAAACGAAGCTCTCCAGGTCATCCCCAATCACTAGGATGTTTTCTTTTATAGAAAAGGATTTCCAGGGACAAGACTTCCATAGTTTACTCTGAAAGTCTGTTTGATTGTTAATCAGCCTAACCATCTAGGAATATTCTTTATAAATAACCAGGTTTGTTTTTGTGACTCAGCGCTGGCTTATTTTTACACCCAGGGGTAGGACATACATGCTTGGGACACCAGGAGACCCGCATAAGAATAAATAGTTGGCAGCTCCCAATCTCAGAAACAAGGGACTGCAATAACCCCTCCCCCATGTCACGGTTCCCGTGCTGAGTGGGAGGTTCTGATAACAGTGTCCCGGGAAGTGGGGGGTGAGGAAGACTAATTAGCTGTGCTGATTCAGAGCAAAACGTCAGCTCGGTGACCATCTTGTCCACCTCTCTCACTTTGAGGACAAGAAAGTATTGGTTGGCCATGTGCTGCCTTATTGTTTCCAGCAATGGTCTCTTTGAGTGATCTTTTTGAGACACTTAAAGAAAGACTGGTTCAAGCAAACAAGAAACAGTTGAAGTAAAAAGTGTCAGAAAAAGATGGGAAGCTCAGTAGCTGAAAGGTGTCTTCATTCCACCTAATTTTATTTAACTCTTGGTGTGACCATGGACATCTTATGTGCCTACTTGGTCTTCTCCTCATTTGTAAGGGAGAAGGGAGCTCGTAGTTAACGCGTCTTGATGGCCCAATGGAGGCAACGGCTCACACTTGTATGTGCTTCTGCCTAGGTGTCTTTCAGTAGGCCAGGCGTGGCCGCGGCAGTTTTTATTTTCTTGACGTCTGATGGCCTGGTATCTGGGAAACGACAGCGGCCAACAGTGACCGTCCACCTGACCGATGTCAATGGAAACAACCACTCTCTTGGTGAGTCTGACAACAGGGCTTCTAGAGGACAGCCCCTTAGACCAGGAGTCAGCTCCATGCCCGTCTCTGATATTGTGGAACCTTGTGTATGTCACACAGCTACTGAGAGGTTAAAATGAATACTAGATATGGGAAAATGATGCTACACCAGTGATTTTCAACCATTTTCATCTCACGGCACACCTAAACTAATTACTAAAGTTCTGCGTCACACCAAAAAATATATTATTTGCCAATCTGACAAAAAAAAATAGGTATAAATTTGATTCATTTACACCAGATGGCTATTGTGTTGGCTGTGCCAGTTTTTTCACTTGACAATCTAAGGGAAAAGAGTCAGGTATCGCATGTTTTACAGTTCTTGTGGCACACTGGTTGAAAATCGCTGTGCTACCTGAATGGCTTAAAATATGATCCATGTCCTTATTTCTTGTCAGGAACCTATGAACTGTCATGCCAGCATAACCCACTGGTTGTCAATGTGACTCGTCACCCAAATGTCCTCTCCCACTGTACCGCCTCCGTGCTGTTGAATTTCTCATCCCCCGTGGTGGGCATCTCAGCGGTGGCTCTAAGGACAGCCTCCCACCTGAGCCCTTCAGTTCCCAACGACTGCGTCCCAGAGCACGAGGGGCAACATCATCAGGGACAGAGGTACAAAGTCCCCTTTCTTCC